CAAAAGAAAAAGAGGAAGGTAGAGAAGTAGTTGAGAAGATGTAAGAAAGAGAAACCCCACTTAAAGTTTCGACCCCGAAAACAAGAAGAAAGGAAGAAAATTGCTTCCCGAGCCTTGACTTTTCGTTTATTTTAATCAGTTGAGTGTGACTCATTTATTACCGTTCGTTTTTTTGTTGTTGTTGTAGTAGTAGTTATCAACTTAACGTATCTCAACTAATTAGAAGTAGATATTGTCCGTTTTTAGCCCGTTATGTATCACTGTCAGCCTCACAGTACTAAAACGCGTATGTTAGGGGAGAGGTTTCCACACCCTTGTAAGGAATGTTTCATTCTCTTCTCCAACCGATGTAAGATCTCACAAACCACACCCCCCTTGAGGGTCTAGTGTCCTCGCTGAAACACCGCTCGATGTCTAGTTCTAATATCATTTGTAACAACCTAAGCCCACCGCTAGCCCGGTGTTTGGCTCTGATACCATTTGTATCAGCTCAAGCCCATTGCTAGCAGATATTATCTATTTTGGCTCGTTACATATTGCTGTTAGCCTCATGGTTTTAAAACGTATCTCATCGACTAAAATGTTATAATTTTGAATTTTCACATTTATAAATCTTTAACGGTAGATATCAACTTAAATATAGTTCAATTTGTTCTCTAGCGAATAATTAAACCACATGGGGAGATATAAGTGGGAGAGAGGGGGTGCGTGGGGGGTTGGGGTTGGGGTTGGAGGTGCAGGTGTGGCACATGGGTCCATGGCCTCCGCCGGCCTTCGGTCCATTCTTTTCTGAATCACTTCCATTAGACAGACACAGGCACAGGCTAAGGCTCATAGGGAACCCAAATTCAGGTTAAATTATTGAGTTTCAAGGACTCATAATAATGTTGAACTGCGTCAGAATGGAGCATGAATGTGTGTGTTTTCTGATTCATCCAAATCTTCTTCCCACTTCATCTCTCTTCCTTTATCCATTCCTTTTCACTATTTCTCGATCCAATCACTAACCCGAGCATAATTCAATAGCTAAATTATCATATCTTCACCTAAAAAGTTATAAAATTGAATCTCGATCGTTAACCCGAACATATTTTAATGACTAAGTTATCATATCCTATCCTAAAAAGTTATATATTCAAATCTTGATCGTTAACTTGAGCACAGGTCAGTGACTAAGTTATCATATCTTCAGCTAAAAAGTTATATATTCGAATCTCGATCGTTAACTCGAGCACAGGTCAGTCACTAAGTTATCATATCTTCAGCTAAAAAGTTATATATACGAATCTCGATCATTAACTCGGGCACAGGTCAGTGACTAAGTTATCATATCTTCAACTAAAAAGTTATATATTCGAATCTCGATCGTTAACTCGAGCACAGGTCAGTCACTAAGTTATCATATCTTCAGCTAAAAAGTTATATATTCGAATCTCGATCGTTAACCTAAGCATACTTCAATGACTGAGTTATCATATCCTCAATTAAAAAAATTATATATTCGAATCTCGATCGTTAACCCGAGCATAAGTCAATATTTAAATAGATACTATGTTTACATATGGATCCTTACGTCCTTACATTCCATTTAGGATTAGGAATAGGCGTACGGACCTATTTTTTAACTTATCATATCCTCAGCTAAAAAGTTATATATTCAAATCTCGATCGTTAACCCGAGCTTACTTCAATTACTAAGTTATCATATCCTTAGCTAAAAAGTTACATATTCAAATCTCGATCGTTAACCCGAACATAAGTTAATGACTAAGTTATAAAAAAAAGCTTTTTTTGGTCTTTAGTAGATCAATTATGGCTTTAAACTTTTCATTATAACCACAAAAATATTCAATTTCACCCCGAGACAAACAAAATTTCACAAAGGAAAACTTCTTAACCAAACCCTAATAGCCCGTCCGACCACAATAATTCAATAGCTCTGAACCTTAATAGAACAAATGTTCAAATCCTTCGACAAATAAACCCTAATCCTAGTTTTGTAAATCGAACACTCTAAATCAGGGTAAAGTTACGTATTTGCCACAAGGATGAAAAACTTTAGGTATTGTATCTCTAACCTCGTTGTGCCCTACCCTATTGCGAGGTCACTAAGGATAGCTTCGTCCTTTGACCCTTAGATTTAATAAATAATAATAATAATTATAGAAAAATAAATATTTGACATTTATAGTCTTTTAATTTTCATTTTATGTCTAGGTTTTAATGAATAGAGAAATTGTAAATTATAAGCTATTACAATTATTTCTCGATATTATTTATCATCATTAACATTATTATTATTATTATTATTATTTATTATTATTATTATTATTATTATTATTATTATTATTATTATTATTACATGAAGTTTAGTAGAAGCTAGGGGCCTAACCTTGATATTACAAAATATATTGTTACCTAAAAGAAAAAATAGACAATAAATGTAAAATTAAATTAAATTAAATTAAAAGCAAAAAAAAAAATCTTATAATTAAACAAATTATATGATATAAATTAAATTAGATATTTATAATTATTTTTTTGAAATATTCTCTAAATAATTTTTTTAGATGACTTTAATTAAAATGTAAAATAATTAAATTTGTAGCGTTATAATGTTGCGAAGTTCTCGAGATTGAGAATTAATTTTTATTTTTTTCATTTAATTTCTTACGATAAAATCGATAAAGTTAAAAAAATAAAAATAAAAAAAATAAAAAAATAAAAAAAGTGAATAAAAATTAAAAGATTGAAACCATATATCGATAATTCCCCGTGATGTCTTTTAGGTATAAAGTTTGACATTGAAATGAGAGAAATTAATTTGGGGAAGATTTTAAAAAATAAAAAATAAAAAAATAAAAAATAATAATTATTATTATTAATTAAAAAAGAAAAAGTTTTCAACCAAATATCACGTAAAAGTACTTTAACAGCAGCACCAACTTACACACTCTTTCATGTGTATTATTTTTTCTCCCTATTTTTTAATTAAAAAATAAAAAATAAAAATAGCGTTTTTTTTTTCTAGTTAATTATTGACTTAGATTTAATTATAATAAAACCATTATTCATTTTGTATTTAATTTTTTTTGAATATATTATTATTAAGAGTTGCTGCAAACAATGGAAATGGACTATGAATGCAGACCTTGACTGTGGGGGAGAAATAATTGAATTTCATTTATTTATGTATATGTTTATTATTATTATTATTATTATTATTATTTTATATGAATTTTGCCGACAAAATAGTGGGTTGGATAATTAGTGTATTGTAACGCGATTAAATAAATAAATTAGGAGTGTTCATATGACTTGATAACTCGATCAATCTGAACTACTTAACTCAAACGTTAAATGTTGAGGTTGGGTTGAATTTTTTTAAAGTCGAAGATTTCATTCTTGAGAGTTAGGCATTGTTTTAGCTCGGTCAACTTGAACAACCTAAAAACAGGGCTACAACTCAACAAAAATGAAAAAGTTATATTTAACGTTTGTGGGGTTGAGTATGTTCGGGTTAGGTTTTGAACTCTACCCATGTTGAGTTAGGTTGAGTCGGGTTAGGTTGTGAACTCTATTCATGTTGCTTGTGTCACTCACTTAATGAACTCGAAATTTTGGATTAGTCCAAAACAAATTTCAACCCAACTCAACTGAACCCATATAAAGTGAGGGATAGATAGATGAAGCTGAGAGTACATCTGAATGAGACCAGTCTGAATATATAATAATTAACCGAACTCAGCTGAACACGTTTAATTTTCTTTTTTAGCGGCTTAATCGTAAAAACTTCAAAATTAAACGTGTTTAATTTTAAACAATTTTATATTACGTGACATTTAAGATAACAAAACATGTTTAAAAAAACGTTCGAGACACGTTACATATAACCTAAATCATTAATTTTAAAATTGTATTAAATTTAATTTTTTAAAACACATATTTGAATAATCATTTTCATATTTAAATTAAAAAATAAAAATAAAACTTTTATTTTTTAATCAATAATTGTAAGAGTACTTATGAACGTGGAATTTGTCACACTATGAATTGAATATCAAAATAAGTCTCCACATGACCGTTTAATTTACGTCAATTCAATATTCCACGCGCTATTAATTAAATTGCTTTTGAACCATATTAATATTTTAAAATAATTTTTTTATTATAAAATTATTTAATCCATATAATTTGACCATAAAACTCCAAAAAAAAAAAAAAAAAAAAAACCAATTATTTCATTTTATTTCTTACTCAACCCCAAATAAATAAAAATAAACTTGAATATTATTAAATTTTTCGTGACCCGATTTTAAAACTATATATTAAAAATAAAACTACTGACACGTATTTTACCGGAGAACATAACAAAACACACTTTTAATAATACAGTAACAATATAAACTATAGGTAAAGTTGGACCGAACCACCAAAATATTAAATCTAAATATCAAATAAATTTATGAATTTCGCGCCTGACTTAACGTGAACTTTTAATATTCAAATAAGTCAGTAATAAATTAATTTTTATGTCTAATAAAACCCTAAACTTTTATATTTTAGAAATTAAAAAATAAAGAAAACAAACAAATCTAGAGATTCTCTGCTCCGTGAATTATTAAAATAATAAAAATAATAATAATAATAATAATGTTGATGGTCACGAAATTGAATACTGACTGAGTCACCAAATTGTGTCCATGTCCACCATTTTCTCTCATCCTCAAGCTTTCTCTCTCCTCAAATTTCTCTCTCTAACCATATTGCTGACTCTGAAATCTCTGACCCCGATAGTTTAGTCACCAAATCTGCATCTCTGTACCTTCTCTTCCCCCCTTTCCCTTTCCCTTTCCCCTCCCATCACCCTTTCTCTCTCCTATTCCTAGAGAGAGAAAATCTACCCCCTTTGAAAAATAGTATCCTACCCTGTTCCCCCTCCCCCACCACCCCTCCTTTTAAATCTCTCCCTCTCTCTCTCTCTCTCTGTATCAAAATATATATATGTGTGTGTGTGTGTGTGTATATATATGTTCTTCCCATTTAACCTCCCATTTTCGTCACGACTTCCTGTTTTGAATCCAAACCCATTATTCTTTTCCATCTCTCTCAAAAGGGTTTGATTTAGTTTCTTCTGGGTCGCCGGAATCCATGGCGGTTCACGCTCAGTTCTACCCTGAAAACCTTGCCTTTCCTTTCGCCGGAAACTCCACGGATGCCGTCTCTCCGCTTTGCTTCCAGAAACCGCCGACTGAGTTCTTCTCTGGTGGTGGTGGTGACGGTGGCTCTGTTTTTAGCTTTGCGAAGAATCCCAACAGAACGGCCGTTGCAGCGGCGGGGTTTTCTCAATGTGTGAGTGCCCATGTTGAGAAACAGCGACAAGAGATCGATTATTACATCAGAGTTCAGGTTTGAATCAAACCCATTACAGAATTTATGAGAATGCTCTGTTTTTTTTTTATCACGATTTTGATTTTCCTCTTTTTTTTAGAATGAGAGCTTAAGAATGGCGTTGAGAGAACAAGGAAAGCAACAAATTACATCATTAATGAAGAAAATCGAAATGGAAGCAGCAATTTTGTTAAGGCAAAAAGAAGAAGAGATTGCTAAAGCTGCTAAGAAAACAATGGAACTTGAAATTTTCCTGAGAAAATTAGAAACAGAGAATCAACTATGGCAGAAAATCGCTCAAGAAAACGAAGCAATGGCCATGTCTCTCAACAACACATTAGATCAAATGAGAGAAAAAGCTTCTAATTCCATGGAAGATGCAGAATCCTGCTGCGACATGAACTCCGCCGCCGCCGTGGAGGAAGAAATCCGACCAGGTTGCTCTGTTTTGGAACAGGGGAGAATGAAGAACAGGATGATTTGCAGAGAGTGTAATCATCGGAATTCGACAGTGATTCTGTTGCCTTGTCGGCATCTGTGTTGCTGTAAGGATTGTGAAACGGTCGTGGATTCATGTCCGGTTTGCAGAACGGGGAAGAAAGCGAGCATAGAGGCGATGATTTTCTGAGAAAATCCCAGAAATTTTCTTTCCCGGGAAAAGGCGAGAAAATCAGATAGGAAAATGTCAATAGAAGAAGGCACTGTTCTTCAACGTTTCTATTTTTTATTTTTATTTTTATTTTTTTACTGTTTCATCTGATTTTGGATTGGAAAATTGTACTTTGAAACTCTACCAAAATGAAGTGGACAGATTATTACAAGACAGAGTATCTTTTTTCTTTTCCAAATTCTTTGATTTTTTATTTAATTTTTTGAATAAAGGTTATTTATTTATTTAATTTATTTGAATTTGATGAACAAAATTATTGGGTTTTGAAGATTTAATTGATTATGTTATGGCAATTTTTAGTGACCCATTTTGGGGTTTGTTTGTCAGGTTGTTTCAGAGCTTTGTTTGGTTCCATTTGTTAATATAAATTGGGATATTCTTTTATTTTCCTATTAATTAATTTTTTGATTTATTTCTCTTTTTTTTTTGTACTTTTTTTATTTATTTAAAATTATTTGATGAGCCATTTTTTTAATCAGTTCATCTCGTTGACTTTGACCCATTTGTATTTGTTGGATGTTTGAATTTTTTTTTTTGCAATATAAAAAAAATTAATAAAAATGTAATTTGGTTTGTAATAACTTTAATTTGAATGATCTAGTTTTAACAATTACGAAGTAGTTTCGAGTCTTGTTAATCCCTCCATTTCTGAGCTGCAGGGGGCACCATGTGACGTGCAGTGCTCTTCCCGTAGCTGACTCTACCTACGACTCAGCCATTTTGAGGAGACTCTTACCTACGACGTGCGGTGTTCTTCCAGTAGCTGACCTTACCTACGACTTAGCCATTTTGGGGAGACTCTTACCTACGGCTCAGCCATTTCCAGGGTGCGGAGACTCTTTAATAAAAAAGATAACTCTTCTCGAGGCCCCTGCTGACGTCTCTAGACTTCTTAACGTTATCGTCCCGCCACGTTCCAGTACAAAAATTTTAACCTGATTCTCTTTTGGAGCTCACGCTATTGCACTATCAGACTCATAAACGAAACACTAGTTGACCCTACCTACGGCTCAACCATTTTCAGAGTGGGGAGACTCTTAAACAGAAAATATAACTCTTCTCGAGACTTTCGCCGACGTCTCTAGACTTCCTAACGTGTCAACCACCACGTCCCTGTTCAAACGTTTTAACCTGATTCTCTTTCGAAGCTTTGCACTATTGCACTACTAGACGCATAAACGAAACACTAATAAATGATGAGTTCGCTATAGCACTATCACTCATAAACGAAGCACTGATGAATAACGATCATACTAAGGTTGAAGATTACCCATAATTTTTTAATGAAATGTTAAAATAATTAAAATTATTTTGGAGGTTTAGTGATATGTGCACAAATTAATGATGATCCAACCAAACACATGCCCATATTTGGTCAGTTGAATCATCATTTAAACATGAAACCTTTGGGATTTAATTTAATTTAATTTAATTTAATTAATTACACAATTTAACCAAACAATGTCTTAATTATATGAATCTCTAATATTTAATTCTATTTATTTTATTTCTGAATTAAAATAAAATAAAATAAATATATACGTTGGAAAATAGCATTTTTGAGTTTAGGGCCGGATATTACTCCGATATGTCGTCCAAGAAATCTGGTGCTACGCATACACCATGCACCTTACATTATCACACGTGGCGGTAATTGATTGGTTTACAACAGTATGCGGGTCTGATTTCAATTTTTAAATTAAAAAATTCCCGTGATGTATTGTCCGTTTCACTCTCCCAGAATCGTGGGAGATTACCACACAATTTCTTTTTCTTTTTTCTTTTTACTCACTAAAATTAAAAAAAGGTGATCTTATATTTTTTTTTTTTGGAAAAAGAAACCGCGTTCACTTGTCACAATCCACGTGATTGTGCGGCACTCACTTTCCAATGACAAGTGAGCTAAGTTCATTTGTCACAATCCACGTGCGATTGTGCGGCACTCACTTTTCAATAACAAGTGAGCTAAGTCAATTCGTTCTTAGCTTGGAGAAATAACAACGGCTCACAGTATATAATCTTGGGTAAGGAGATGGTATGATTAAGACATACTTCAAATTCTCGTAACTTAGATTAAAAAATTGGAGGTACAAAATTTAAAACGATCGTTTTAACGGTATATAGACTAAAATTCAAAGTAAAGAAACGTCGAGAGATTCAAGGACTCTCGAGTGCTGGGTCCCGCTCAAGGAAATGAAAGTGGAGGGCATGGGCATGAAGGAGAAAAGAGGAATATTGGAGGGCATTGCTTCCACATTTCAAGTTTGGGGTTCTAATTGTTGCACACATCAATATGGGGGTAGACCTACCATGCATACACCCATCCCTATCTTTGGATTTCCTAAATTTCACTTTTTCTTTATTCTTTTTGTTTTTCAACACGCATGTGGTGGGTGGAATATAAATGTGGACGATGCTCGACGGTTTGGATATCATATTCGGGAGAAGATTTGATTTGGATGAGAATAAGTTCTTTCGTAGGTTTAGAAAGTCGATGGCTAAATAGCTATTTGAGAGAAGACATTCGTAGAAATACGAATGTCGTCGAATATAGTTTCACATTAAAAAGGAAATAGTAGACCAAAAAAAAAAAAAAAAAAACCGTGTAATACTACCTTGATATTTTATAAGGTGGTACTATTGAATTAGGACAAAAATTGTGATTTGCAATGGTATTCCAAGAACTTAAAACACCCTAGTGGTCTTAAAATTATCAGACACACCTGATGGTTTTAGAATTACCAGAAACTCAAAACACCTTGATGGTCTTAGAATTACCAGAAACTCAAAACACCCTGATGGTCTTACGAGTTACCATAAACTTACAACACCCTAATGATCTTACGAGTATCGCTACATCATTTCAGGACCTAATTTGTATTCAAATGGTAAGGAAGAATAATTGTATACATGAATAAAAGGTGAAATGGAATATGAATAGGACACTATTCATTCCATTCTTATCTCCAAATTTAAGTAAACAAGGCATTAATTGTTTATTAATGTTTGAAAACTAAGAGATAGGAAGAACACTATGCAGTTCATCCATTAATGTGCTTGGGAAAATTCAAAGTCGTCTTTCCCCAGTCCAAACTACTTTCATTAGTCAATCTAAGTCACATCACATCACGAATACATAAACACATTGTTCAAGATAAGATCAGATCACTCATCATTTCAAAAAAAAGAAATAAACAATGAGAGGCTTGGGGAAGAAGAATGGTAGTAGTAGTTTGAAAAACATTTTTTGAAAAAGAATACAAAGTACACCTGTCCATTACATGAACCTATACAGAAAATAGTGCTACTTTCTCAATCTAACAAAAAAAAAAAAAAAAAAAAAAAAAAAAAAAAAAAAAAAAAAAACCCCATCTCATAGATTTCAATCAAGTCTTTAGCCATTTTGCACAGAACCATGTCAATCTTTAACTGTTCTTGAATGGGGGATTTGGATTTGGCTTTGGATTATGGCCACAGGCAGAAGATCTAACAAAAATGAACCCATCTCACAGATTTCAATCAAGTCTATTAGCCATTTTGCACAGAACTAATGTCAATCTTTAACTGTTCTTGAATGGGGGATTTGGATTTGGATTATGGCCACAGGCAGAAGATCTAACAAAAAATGAACCCATCTCACAGATTTCAATCAAGTCTTTTTAGACATTTTGCGTAGAACCATGTCAATCTTTAACTGTTCTTGAATGGGGGATTTGGGTTTGGATTTGGATTATGGCCACAGGCAGAAGATCTAACAAAAAATGAACCCATCTCACAGATTTCAATCAAGTCTTTTAGCCATTTTGCACAGAACTATGTTAATCTTGAACTGTTCTTGAATGGGGGATTTGGGTTTGGATTTGGATTATGGCCACAGGAAGAAGATCATGGCAACCTTTTTTAAACAATTTGAGATCCGTACTACAAACAAGATCCAAAGGGGGCAGTAAAGATAAATCTTGAGAGAGAATTTTTGCTACTCCTCAATACTAATAACTTTATATCTGGCGCTGAAAGGGACTAGGGGAAAGGATAATAGCGTGTGGTGGTGGGTAAAGCCGATCAGTAGAGGCTAAAACCAAGAAACTGGGTGATGATAATGGCAAGACCAAGAGCAATGGCTACAAAAGAAGCAGCCCAGGTCAGTCTTTCAGTTATTCTAGGCACTCTGTCCTTCAACGCCTCGCTAAACGAGCCTATGAAAGCAGTATAGCTTCCCATTGAAAGAACTGTTCCAACTAAAAACATAAGAAGAAAGGCAGCGCCGGCTACACGGGAAGGCAAGGCAAGGGCAGGCAAGACTATCATAAGTGCATCAGGTTGCAGACCATGGACAACTCCAGTGGCAAAAGTAGCAAAACCAATCTTTTTCTTCTTTTTCTTTCCCACAACCATTGGTTTCTCTAGTGTTTCATAGATGCCGACATCACACTCACCATTTTCTAGAGCCACACATGGTGTACGGACTTCTGAAACTTCCCTAATACCCATAACACCTATTATAAATAAAGTCATACCTACTACTATTGTGCCCCAAGTTCTGAGAATTTCAATGTGTAGCTTATCTTGTAAAAGTAGAAATAGTAAGCCAAAAATGACCTGACCTGCATCATGGCCACACCCCCAAAGTGCCCCAACTGCAGCACTTTCCATGCGATTACAGCCAATTGAAAGTGGTGCAAGAGCAGCAAGGTGGTCTGGTCCTGATAGTGTATGTAAGCAACCAGCAAAGATCCCTGTCCAAGCACTACTTAATAGTTCACTCTGGATCAGTCGTCGCCCAACTACAGCAGCTGCAGGACCTCCAGTTTTAGCTGCTGCATTTTGAAAGGATGCAAAAGCTGCTGGCGCAAAGACTGGTTGGATCAGGATCAGAACAAGAGCAGAAAGAACACAGAGTGACCTTTTCACCTATATGAAGATTAACAACGTGTGAAATTCTATTAGCTCTAAGAATAAAAAACACAATTACAGCCAAAAAGGGTCTTTGTTCTTCATCATATTTAATAAGTTAATAGCTAAATAATATGAACACTCAGTTTTCTCTGGTGTCATGTTTGTCCATTCTGCTAATCCATCAACTCGTAACAACTACAGCCAAAAGGGTCTTTGTTCTTCATCATATTTAGTAAGTTCATAGCTGAATAATATGAACACTAAGTTTTCTCTGGTGCCATGTTTGTACATTCTGCTAATCCATGAACTCGTAACAGATATGTATTGGTCTTAAATGGAAATAAACCAATTTCAAAACTGTTCGAAATCGTTCACAAATTTCATTATATTGCTTCATAAATGCCAAGGATGCTTGAACATGTGAATAGGGCTGGGATTTTCGTGGTATCCAAAGATCAGAAAAGGATAAGGCGACGACAAACAATAAAATAAAATCATAAACACTGCTGCGTCTGTTTGTGAGTCTGTGACCACATGGAAATAAAAGCGTAAATGTGAATATTTAATTTCAATGAGTACTGCTAACAATAAAAGAGGAATGCAGCATGAAACAGAAATTTCTCTGATCATATCCATCGTTCGTCATTAAGAACACTTTCAACATTTATTTCTCAATAAAGAATCTCACTCGATTGTTTAGACAACTGAAGAATAATCCGAAATTTTAGATTATTTCTCAATATGAAGCCGTCGCCAGTAATTGTAATTCATTAGAAACATTGCTCATTTAATATCACAAAATTTTAAATCGCTGTTATTCTTTCCAGTGATTTCAACAAGAAACTGGAATCCTGAAATAAGATCTAATTAAGCAATGCAACACAGCAGATATTTCACACGACTCGTATGATTAGGCAAAAATTCATGCAATGAAGTGAAAAAAGTACTCGAGACTTCAAGAAAACTGACCTACAATTCGATAATTAATCCAAACTGAATGAGTTATAAAGCAAACAATTCACAGTACTCCAAACTTGACCTAAAATCAATAAAAAGCGCTTTACGGTGAATAAGACGGTATATATAATCCCAACGTAATCCAATTACCTGATAATCAAATGAAAAGCAACGAAGAACGTGAAATTAACACCAGAAAAAAAACAGAAATGCATTTCAATCCAATACCTTCTCCTTTCAGGCGAAATGTTCCAGAAAATCAAGCTTAGGCGAGCCGGCAAGAGAATCGGACGGACAAATCGAATCACTCGATGAATTCGAGGAAGAAAGACAACAAAACGAAGACATAGAAGGCTTCTCATTCTTACAGAAGGTCAAACCGAGCGGCTTGAGTCCATGGCGCGTCGGGAGGGGAAAATTGAGCTTCAAAGAGTCAATGCGACCAGACCAAAGAAGAGTAAGAGATGAATTGAGGTTAATCTCGAGGAAGGTCGGAGAAGGAGAATACAGAAGCCTTTCCATAGCGTCTCTTCGCCGCCGTTTGGGCCGGCGGCGGAGGAAGAAGAAGGGTCGAAGGTGACCGCAAAAGGAGGGTGGTGGTGAAGTTGGTACTTGGAAGATAAGAGTCCAAGCAAAACAGTTCCAACAGAAAATTGAAATCCCCATTTTTCTTTTTATTTTAATATTATTTTTCTCTGGTTCAGTGAGATTAACGTGGGCTCATATACTACCATACTTAATTAAATAAAAATTGAAAATAATTCATAAAAATAAATTATTTTGAATTTAAATATATTAATGCTATATTGTACAATAAGATCAATATGCTTTGGAAGAAGCTCGTAAATTTTGGAAAAGAGCTTTGATTAAGCACGATTCCTTACGATTTTTAAAACACGTGTACTAAGGAGAGGTTTTCACACTCTTATAAGGAAGACTTTATTTCCCTCCTCAACGACCTCACAATAGATCCCTTGAGGCCCAGCGTTCTCGCTGGCAAATCACCTCGTGTTTTGCTCTAATACCATTTGTAATAGTCCAAGTACTGCTAACAGGTATTGTTCGCTTTGACCTATTACGTATCGTCGTCAGCCTAACAGTTTTTAAATCGCATTTGCTAGAAAGAGGTTTTCACACCCTTATAAGGAATATTTCGTTTCTCTCTTCAATTGACGTGGGATCTAACAAATAACGCTCGGGAAGGGAGGACGATGCAAATGAGGAAAAATCGACCACGTTATCGTTACCTCTGAAAATCACTCAGCAATCATGGAACGAGCGTCGAAAGCTGAGATAAACCCTAAAATTTTGAGTAGAGTAGAATCTAAATGATAGCTAGGTATAATACGACGAGGAGTAGTTATAAACCCTGATGTGAACGAAATATAGAAAATGATATTTAAAAAAAAAAACATAATATTTTGTTCAATAATTTTTAAATCAAATATAAAATCGAAAATTAATAATATGGCCCAAGTATTCAGGGGTATTTCCGTCATTTAAACTACTAAGGATAGCAGGTACTAACGTGGCGCGAATTTAAAAGGACTATATCGTTATTATCCATTTTCACCAAAACGAGAGGTCCAACAACTTCCATCCTGTAGCAAAGCAGAGACACAAATCCCTCCAAATCCAAAATCCACTACAACACAGCCCACCAAATCATACGGTCAAACAAACGAAAAGTCAATAGTCATCAATTTTCCTAGAATCTATTGGAGTTAAAAGATCTCCTACTGTACTTGCGTTGTACCTGATTATAGTAGAAATTTTAAAAAACCAACTGAATGGAAGGCTTCAGCAATTGCACAGTTTTAGCGGTGGAGAAGAGCTCTGAAGCTTTGAAGGTTTGGCTCCAATGGCGAAGCCGGTTCAAATTGAAGTGTGGAATCCTAATGGAAAGTACAGAGTTGTAAGCACCAAGCCTATGCCTGGAACTCGCTGGATCAATCTCTTGATCGAACAAGATTGCCGAGTTGAAGTAATTTTTCTTGTGTTTTTCTCTTTGTTTCCCGCCTGTTTCTGCTTCCCGGCGGAAATTTTGATGTGGATTTAGATTTTTGCATTCGTTTCGTGTTGTAGATTTGTACCGAGAAGAAGACGATACTCTCGGTGGAGGATATTGTTGCTCTCATCGGCGAAAAGTGCGACGGCGTTATTGGACAGGTATTTGAACCTAATCGTACTAGTTCTTGTCAATCAGAAAGTTTGTATGCATATTAGCTAGTTTGAGTCGATTTAAATGAATTATAGATTAGAGTCGTAGAGGAAAGAAGAGATGGAAGGTTAATCTCTACATTAAAACTAGTTGATTATAGGATTTTAAGAATCTAAATGTGATGATATCTGAGCGTTTACATGCGGCTCCTGATGGATTGAAATTGGAAAAACGTTTGGTTGCCGTACAATTCCTAATGAGTTTCCGTACTTGTGATTCTGAGGTTTGTTTTCTTGGATGTTTCAGTTGACTGAAGATTGGGGAGAGGTGCTGTTTTCTGCATTAAGCAGAGCCGGAGGCAAAGCTTTTAGTAATATGGCTGTTGGTTACAATAATGTAGATGTTAACGCTGCTAATAAGTATGGTATTGCTGTAGGAAACACTCCTGTAAGTTTATTTGGCTCTGTAAACTGTTACTACTTGAATTGTTATTTTGTACCTCATAAATTTGATTCTGCATGTACTGAGATATAGACAGGTATTTAGATCATTCATTTCTTATTTGTTCAGGGAGTACTTACAGAAACTACAGCAGAGTTGGCAGCTTCACTTTCTCTTGCAGCTGCAAGAAGGATCGTTGAAGCTGACGAGTTCATGAGGGCAGGCCGCTATGATGGATGGCTTCCGAATTTGTATGACTATCTGCCATGATTTGGATTATCTTTTAAAAATAGGCATCCAAAGTGGCCCTACAAATTTGAAGTAATTTTTTTAATAGGTTTGTTGGAAACTTGCTGAAAGGCCAGACTGTTGGTGTGATTGGAGCTGGTCGTATTGGATCTGCTTATGCAAGAATGATGGAAATTTTCCTAACTCAATTGTTTATGAGTTTATGGTATAGTACCTGTTTTCCCTTGATGATTTCTTGTTATATTCTTGCAGGTAGAAGGGTTTAAGATGAACCTGATCTACTTTGATCTTTATCAGTCAACCAGACTCGAAAAGTTCGTTACAGGCATGTCTTAATCGACAATTCTTTAAAACAATGAGTTTGAGTCCCTTTAGCTGAAACGCTTGTTTAATTGCAGCCTATGGCGAGTTCCTAAAAGCCAACGGTGAGGTTCCTGTGACATGGAGAAGAGCATCATCCATGGATGAGGTGCTTCGAGAGGCTGATGTGGTACGACTTTGATGTGATTAATTAACATGGTTTTGAAGAGCTCATCTTTCCTTATGTAACATAAATTTGCTATTGTGCGTTCCTTTGGATTTATAGATAAGTCTTCATCCAGTACTGGATAAAACCACCTTCCATCTGGTGAACAAAGAAAGTCTTAAAGCCATGAAGAAGGTGAAGCTTGCTAAGGCTCTTTTCTCCCTTCGATTATAGTTTTGATCTCCCTGACCCTATTCGACCCTCTTACAGGGATTCCTGATTGATTACATTTAAACTTATGTTTCTTTAAATTATATTATAACTGCAGGATGCAATCCTCATTAACTGTAGTAGGGGACCCGTGATCGATGAAGCAGCCCTTGTTGAGCATTTAAAAGAGAATCCGATGTTTCGAGTTGGCCTCGATGTCTTCGAGGTATTTCTACTTACGAGTTGCTCACTTTCTTATTAACTGTAGTAGGTTAACATGTCTTGTTTCATCACTCTTTGGTTAGGATGAACCATACATGAAACCTGGGCTTGCTGATATGAAGAATGCGATCATTGTACCTCACATTGCTTCCGCTTCCAAGGTAAATCTCTGCCTAGCTTGAGTGTGAAATGAGGATATCCTTACAGGAGCATTGACCCTCTTTCATAACCATCATGTAGTGGACTCGTGAAGGGATGGCGACACTGGCTGCTCTTAATGTTCTGGTGTGCAACCTATGAATTTAGACTCCATGATTTATTTTATTTTCATTTGGATTGTTCTTCTTATCTGGCTTGCATTTTGAACTTAAAACACTGGCTTCTCTAACCACAGGGAAAAATTAAACAATATCCCGTTTGGGCCGATCCGAACCGAGTAGAACCATTCCTTGATGAGAACACTCCACCTCCAGCTGCGTCTCCGAGCATTGTGAATGCAAAAGCCTTGGGTATATAACTGAAAAAGGTTTAAATACTACTTTGATCCTCGTACTTTTTGGTTTATCATGATCATTATACTTTCAGCTTTTGTTTATTTTAGTCAATTTACTCTCAAAATGTTCATTTTGATCGTCTTTTGTCCTTCATTTTTAATCAAAATTTTAGTATTACACATCATCATAAATTTGTATTCAACGGTTTAGTTCATAAACTTTATATTAACATTTTGCAAATAGGAATTAAAATGGTCGGTTTTTTAAAAGTACAAAGGTCAAAATGAACAAAGTTGAAAGTGCATGAATCAGAATGAACCAACCTTCACCTTTTAAAGGTACAAAGATTAAGGTAGTATTTAACCCGAACTTAAAACCAGCCTAGCTATTATAGTTCAATTCTCTTACTCCCATCATTTGTGGTCTTTGCAGCATTGCCTGTGTCAAAGCTGTGAATCGATGACGCTTGCTTACATTACACAGACTTTGAGGTAAATGAAAACTCTATTTACGAGTGAATTTGATGAGTGTCGAACTCTGGACAATTGATTATAATGTGCGTATCTATCTCTTTGGTTGAAAATGCAAGTCCATCACCTAGTTAGTTCTACAACATCAAATATATTAGTTTGAATTATATATTTAATCCATGCGATATCGTTTTAATTTTAATTAAATCTCTATGGTTTAAAGGGGTTTAAATAGTATGGCATCTTTGATTAAAGCATATTATATTTAATTTCTTCACTAAACCAATAAATTGTTATTATTATTACTATTATTATTTTGTAAGAGTAAGTTGTAATTTTGTTTTCAAACTCTAATAGACTTTGCTTCTAAGAGTGACTTTGATGTTAACCTTTCACCTATGTCTAAATGCTTACCATATATTTCTTGTGATCAAAGATTTGTTATAATGCACAAATTTACCTTTGTAAAAAAGAAAAAATCATTATGAAAGTTTATATAGTAAACCAAAAAAGAAAAAGAACTTTAATGGTGATTAATTACTCCAATAATGCAACAATGTTCGATGATATCATTACCTTTTAACCATAAGTTAGGTGGAGTTGTAGGTAAGGGTGTTGACATTTTGCTACTTTTATTTCCTCCCTGAATAATTACCACACTATTTTTTCTTCTCCTTTTAAATTAGCATGGTTTAATTTAGTTATTTATTTTAAGCTTTTATATGTAAATTGTGCTTATATTTTTTAGTGTTCTATTGTTGTGGTAATCTACCTATATATATCAATATTTCAATTATATCATAAAAATCGATAAAACTGAGTTAAAATACTTATAATCTAACTCATTTTAATAGTATAAAATGTTTATTGATATTATGTTATTGGTTTGACATTGTATGACTCTCGTGATTTTGCTTTTGGTGTTAAGTGGAGTTGTTATCTTTCACTTTGTTAGTACAATAAGTGGAGGTATGAAAATTTAAGTTATGCTCACTTTAGCGTTGTCTCTAAATAGCATACATTTGTCACAAAGGCGAGAGGTTTGAATTCTTACCTTTACATTACTTGGACTAAAAAAATTAGGTATAATTATTAACCATCAGAGGTAGATTAAGATATACTTATTTTTTACCCTTTTTTTTTTGAAGTAAAATAAGTGGTATTATCTGAGAAGAATTGAATTATTAACTTTTTTTTTTTTAATAGCAATTCGTGTCATTTGTGTAATTAGAATTATAATACAAATTACATATTCTAAAGCTTTAAAAATACAAAATTAAAAAAAAAAAAAACAAAACAAAAGCTACCCCTAGACTCTAATCATCCCATATTTAATAGCATTTTTAATTTTTTTTTTAAAAAAGCAATAAAAATAAATAATTTGAAACTATTTTTGGGACCAAAAGAATTAATTTGGAAGAAAGACATAAGTTTTGTAAAAGTAGGGATTGTGACAGATAAATGTGTCTGTCGTACCTATTATTAAATTGTCGGACACCTTATCCATGTTGCTGAGAGACGGCTGATTGGATAATTTTAAATAAATTAAAATTAAATCTTTTTTTAAAAAATCAGAGTGCTGAAGCAGTATCATCCACCATACTTATTATCCCACTCAAAACTTCCTCTTTTCTCAATTACGAAAATAATTAATTTTCTTTAAATAATAACCAACCAATCAAATCATGCCACCTTTAACCGTCTCTTATACTACTGATTTTACCATTTATAATATTACACCTTTATTTAAAAATTTTGAAATTAATTTTCAAATTTAGTTTTTACTTGATTTTATTTATGAGTGTTCACGGTTAAAACTTGACTTTGATATGTAACAGACAAATATTTAATTTAAATGAATAATAATTAAATATTTAATTTAAATGAATAATAATACAAATTTAAACGAAGAGTAAAAATAATTTTAAAAAATTTAAACGAAGAGTAAAAATAATTTAAAAAGTTTGAGTGACACAAATCTCGGTGTATATAATAAAATAATATCGAGTAGACTACATTTATTAATAAAATCTTTGTTCTTTTTTTATAAATAAAAAAATTCCGTTTTTCATACATTTGCATGCAAAAGAAACAAATAAATATTAGGCTAATAAATAAATAATAAAATAGGTAGAATTTTAATATAAGGTGAAGTTTCCACTTTTGAATATAATAATACATTTTTATTATAATTTCATAATGATCATAGGCTCCACAAGCAATTTTAAATGGCGTCTAACAATATGTATTATATACTAGATAATTTTTTATATTCAAAATTTAAAACCATAAACTAATTTTTTTTATTATATATAAGTTAAATTAATAAATGGTTTTCATCCTAAAAAAAATTCAACATTTTTATTTGTAAAAATAAAAGATGTTAACGTTACTTTTAAAATTTAAAATTTAACGATGTTTTAAAAATATAAAATATAATTTAGAGGTATTTTTATAATTTTAGCCTATATTATTTATTATTTATTAAAATAAAAAACTTGAAAAAGACAATGAAAGGGTTATAGGGAGAGTGAGTGGAGAGGCTTAGTTGGATGCCAGGCTGGCGTTCTTCCTCTTCGCCCAATCGCTTCCCTCCTCCTAATATCATTAACCTCACATGGTCTCGCTGTACCCTTCCCTTTCCTTCCCTCCCTCTCTACAATTTCAATCTTTTTATAGATTTTTTTTAATTAAAAATTTGAATTAATTTTAATTAGCTGACGTGAATATATCTCGATGACTCGTTAAGATATATGATATTAGAATTACGAATACCCTGCAATTATCTCTCGAGTTCAAGACAAAATGTCTTAGTAAAAGAAAGGTCCATAAATGAACTGAAAAATGTATTGTAATGCGGGTAGAAAGGTTCACTTTACCTGCGAGAACCCACCTCGAACAAAGAGGTAATTATCTGTTTAGACAGGAAATTGGGGAGAAAGTAGGGAATACTTTTTTCCCGTTAGATAAATGGGGATGAAATTATATTTCCCACTTGAATCTCCGTCTAGCTCTATCTCTGCCTCATTCATTAAGATGTCTCACCTTGGTTGGGGAGGAGAACAAACCACCATTCATAAGGGTGTGGAAACCTTCCTCTAATATAGACATTTTAAAGCCTTCAGGGAAACCCGGAGGGAAAAGCTCTAGCAGTGGATCTCGACCCTTACATTTATCTAATGGGATAAGGACCCTATTATAATATTTAAATTTTAATAATTATATATCTATAAATATATATATATATATATAATTATTGATTTTTTATGATTTTTTTAAAGAAAAGTTATATTGAAAATTAAAAACTTTAAAATAACTATTTTTACCAAGAACAATAAACTAAAAAAATATTATTAGAGGAAATTCTCTAGATAAAATTTTCACCTTAATTTCTACAAAAAAAAAAAAAAAAATATATATATATATATTTTTTTGGAATAAAAAATGAAATAAATAGCGGAAAATTAATAAAATAATTTTATATAGGGTGACATCAATTTCTTAAAAAAAAAAAAGAAAAAAAACATATTAAACGACCGATTTGCATTAAATATTAATTGAGATTAAAAAAAATGTTTAATTTTGTTTAAACAACAAATTTCATTTCAAAACAATAAACACAAAATTCCGAAAATACCCTTGACTTTAGCCTTAGCCATAAAACACAACCATTTCCTCATTTCACCACCGAAACCAGAGCAACCAAACCCTCCCTGCAAATTTTCCCCGTTCACTCGCCGGAATTTGAAACAATGTCGAAAGAGGTGACGGAAGAGGGACAGTCCAGCTTGAGAAAGGACTACGTCGACCCACCGCCGGCGCCGCTCATCGACGTCGCCGAACTCACCCTCTGGTCCTTTTACAGAGCTCTAATCGCCGAGTTCATCGCCACTCTCCTCTTCCTCTACGTCACCATCGCCACCGTCATCGGCAACAGCAAACAGACCAAAATGTGCGACGGCGTCGGAATCCTCGGCATTGCCTGGGCCTTCGGCGGCATGATCTTCGTCCTCGTCTACTGCACCGCCGGAATTTCCGGTAACTTAGGGTTTGCTTTCTGATTTCCGTTAATTTAGGGTTTGTGATTTTTAGGGTTTGGTTTCTGCAGGCGGTCATATCAATCCGGCTGTTACATTCGGGCTGTTTCTGGCGAGGAAGGTGTCGCTGATCAGAGCGGTGGGGTACATGGTGGCGCAGTGCGCCGGAGCCGTCGTCGGCGTCGGATTAGTTAAAGCTTTCATGAAACATGATTACAACAACAACGGCGGCGGAGCAAACGCCGTTAATTCTGGTTACAGTAGGGGAACAGCTCTCGGTGCTGAGATAATCGGAACGTTTGTTCTTGTTTACACCGTTTTCTCTGCTACTGACCCCAAAAGAAGCGCGCGTGACTCTCACATCCCTGTAAATTTCTTCTTCCCTTCCATAAATTTTCAATTCCTCGTCAATTGAAGCTTGAAATCTTCTTTGTTCTTGATGTGACAGGTTTTGGCGCCATTGCCGATCGGCTTCGCCGTGTTCATGGTTCATTTAGCCACCATTCCCATCACCGGAACCGGAATCAACCCGGCTAGAAGCTTCGGCGCCGCCGTGATCTACAACCGTGAAAAACCCTGGAACGACCATGTAAGTCGTCGCCGGGAGAGATTTTGAGTTAATAAATTTGAATTTGAGTAACCCTTTTGTTGGATTTATGCAGTGGATCTTCTGGGTGGGTCCGTTCGTCGGAGCACTGGCGGCAGCGGCGTACCACCAGTACATTCTCCGAGCAGCCGCCATTAAAGCGTTGGGATCATTCCGCAGCAACCCGACCAACTGAGAGGAAGAAGAAGAAGAGGAAGTGATGTTTTTAGTTATTCGTTATTATTTGATGTCTGGTTGTGTGAAGCCTGAGAGATTATGAAGATGATGATGGGCTGTTTGAGTGTTTATGTTATTTTATTTAATTTTTAAAATATTTTGTTTGTTGGTTTATTTTTGGGTAGTATTATGAACACATTTTCGCCAAATATATATATATATATATAATATTTTATCATATGAAAAATTAAGGAAATTATGAAAAAAAATATTATTTTTAAAATTTTTTTAGTTAAATTTCAAAGTACACGATAAAATTTAAAATTTTTGTTAAATTTAATTTTAAAATTTTTAAAATAATTATTAAGCCCGAGCAATATTCAAAGGGTAAAGAGTAATAAACAAATTCAAAAAACAACTTCTGCATTTGAAAATTATGAGGGTGACAGGCGCACATAATGGGCCGAGGCGAACAAAATCTACTACAGGCGGATTTCAGTCGTTACATATAGTTTGACCATATGTATCAAAAATGATAGTTTTGTTGATTTTTACGATATATATTAATTTTTATACAAAATAAAAAAATATCCTAAATGATATATATATACATATATATATTTATTTATTACCATATGAAAGTTAAGGAAATTATGCAACAATAATATTTTTTTTTTAATTTTTAGTTAAATTTTATGTACAAAATAAAATTTGAAATTAGTGTTAAATTTAATTTTAAAAAAATAAAAAAATAAAAAATTATTAAACTGAGACCCATGATAAAATAGTATAAGTAATAAACAAATTAAAAAAATATATTTTTAATATACGCGTTTTAAAATCATGAAGTTGACGGCGAAACATAATGGGTGGAAGTGGACAATATCTATTAGTAATAGATTTGAGCGGTTATTAATTTGAAGGCATAAAATTTATACCAAATTTATATTATAATATTTAAAAATTAAATTTAGGATATTTTCGTTATAATCCATTAGATATTAAAAACTATGTAAAATTCATTATAATTTATTAAACATTAAATACTCGATTAAATGATCTAAATTCATTATTAGACATTAAATTAAAAATATTCTCACTCATTAAATATTTTTACCTGATCTGAATTTATTATAACTCATTTAAACATTAAATACAATCTAATATCTGAATTTTTCTAAATTCTTTTTTTATTTTTTGTTAAATTCAAGGAAAAGAAAGGCGCATGAAGCCACGTGTCAAAGGGAGGGGTAAAAAGGTAAAAGAAGGGCTACTATAGCAGCTTTTAATAATAATAATAATAAAAGTAAGGAAAAAGAAAAAAGAAAAAAGAAAAAAGAAAAAAGAAAAAAAAGTTGGTTGGGCAAATTTGGACTAAAGTCCAACGAAACTGTACATTGGGAGAAGAATCTATTTTCATAAAAGAAAAAAAAAAAAATAAATAAATAAAGGACCGATTTTCATGACGTGGACCCCACCACCCAACGTTTACATGTCACGACAGCACATGGTATGTGGGTCCCACTACCAAACAGTTTTTTTTGTCGCCTTCTGATTGGTTTATCCCCCTTTTTTTTTCTTTTACCGACGCTGGCAATCCGTCATGGTAAAAATAAATAAAATATAGTTTTTATTATTATAAACATATATTATATTTAATTTTTTTAATCTAGATTTAGGTTTAATTTAATAAACCCACACATTAATTTTAGAAATTAACTGCCAAAAATAATTAATCTTGAAATAAAATATTATTCAACCAGAAATTATCTAAAATTTACCGTGAGTTTATAATATTATAAAACTCTTTCAAAAAGCATGGCTTTGAGTCCCTGCCACGTGTTTGATTTTCTTTTAAAAAAAGTAACGTTAAGTACGAAAATAACCTCGGGTCGGGCTATGTCCTATTGGGGGACCGTTAAATTGGTGGCAAAAGTTAGCATCAAAATCATTTTGTTCTTTTGTCGAAGTAAAATACTAAACATATATTATATGATACATAAACCTACTTAGAAATAATCGTGGGGTAAATTACATAAATACCCCTAAATTTTGATGTTCAATCTACAAAGATTTTGAGAGATTTTTACTTTTAGGATCGTTTTAAGACGTGTATTAGAGGTTAAAGTAAAGTTTAGGGGTATTTTTATAATTTAATATTATTAAAATATGGCATAAGATTTTTAAAAAAGAAAAAAAAAACAAAAAAACAAAAAAATTGTTGTACAGAAACAGAAAAGAACAAAAGATAGCAGAAAAGGTGTTGTGGAATTTGACATATTTATTGCCTCTCTGTCTATGTCTCTTTCTCTTGGGCGCTGCAAGAGGCATCCAACTTTTCACTTCAAACTGAACACAGACAGAGAGGCTCAGCAACATAGTGGTCCTCAATGGGTCAAACCCATAGAGCCACAGTTGTCCCATTGCCCCACCACCACCACTCATAGGTTCCCCTTTTAAGCACCACAAGTTAAATAGAGGGGAAAGACGCCAGCCCCAAAAGGAGTGGACACTGGGAAGTGTGCTAGGCCTTGAAAGGGATTAGAGAGAGGAACGATTCTAGGCCTCGGTGGATAGGGAGATCCCATGTTGATTGGAGAGGGGACGAGTGCTCGCGAGAACGCTGGGCCCCAAAAGGGGTGGACACTGGGAGGTGTGCTAGCAAGGACGCCAGACCTTGAAAGAGAGTGAATTGTGAGATCCCACATCGATTAGAGAGGGAAATGACGCTAGGACCCGAAGGGGGTGGATAGTGAGATCCCATGTTGATTGGAGAGGGGAATGAGTGACAGCATCCCACTAAACTCTGAAAGGGGGGTGGATTGTAAGATCACACGTCGGTTGGAGAGGAAAACAAAGCATTTTTTATAAGAGTATGGAAGTCTCTTCCTAACATACGTGTTTTAAAAACCTTGAGGGAAAACCCAAAGAAGACAATATCTGCTAGCGGTTGGTTTGAACACTCTCGGGAGCTAAACAAACAAAACCCAGAAGCTTATGCTTTCTATAACATGGAAGTTGGAGAATTCTCAAGCTACATGATATGATGCTTTAGTATGCAATACACTTAGATGATACAGCTTTAAACAACATCTATAGAACTAAATGGCAGGCTGATTCTGATATGATCTATAAGTGATGATATAATCTACTACTAATCCTTCCCTCATCATAACAGATCACCAGAGAATGATTTGGATCTAAATTTTTGTACCTTGGAGTCAATGGATGTGATCATTTCTTCCAGCTGAGACGATTTGAGCTCTAATTCGCTTAACCGAGCTTGTGTTTCTGCTACTCGTGTCTTCGACTCAGAGACCTCCTTTTCTTTCAATGCCAGATCAGCCATTAGGGACTCGAGTTCTTTCTTTGTTGTTTCCAAATTCTGCTTGCAGTCTGCCTCTGCGGCTTCAATGGCCCGGTGATGACTTCTCAGCTCTACAGCTTCTGCAATTTCGTTAAGGCGACTCTTCAACCACGCTACGTTAATTTCCGAGGACTCGACGTCTTTGAAAATTGCTGACAGTTCTTTAATTTTGGATTTGGTCAGTTGATGAAACTCAGTGGATTGTAATTCCTGAATCACATAGCACACGCATTCGAGATAGTACGAGCGCATGGAAACGGATTCCAGTTTACAGGTAGCTGCGATATCTCCGTATTTTTCGAAGATTGATGTCAGGATGGAGGAGAAGCTGGATTTTACACTGTACTTTCCCACTGGAACAGACAGCTCAGAATTTACAGACTCGATCTCGCCCTCGTCGCTGTCTACTAGAGTTTGTTCTAAACCAGACAAGCTGAAGTTCGATTCACTAGAACGCTTCTGAAAACTTTCTTTACCGTTATTACCGTTGGGTGTAAGATCCTTAAAAAATGCTTCATGGTTCTTGACCCCGTTCTTATTATTCGTCTCCGAAGCGGAATTCCGAATGGGACTCTGGTTTGGAGCATTCTCTGTGTAGTCAGGCTGAGAAGAAGAAAGACAACTGCAGGATCAACATTTTGATACAACATAAAACTGTTATTAATTGAGGGTGGAGAGGTAAAAAACGCACCATTATGATACTTTCAGATGATGGCATTCGAGGCGTGTCGTGTTTCTCGACAGCAAGACTAGGATCATCGGGATGGATTTCCTCTGAATAAAATTTTTTGGTCGGGGATATATGATCACCATTTCTTGATTCTACGTTTTTCTTAGGAGAGACACGTGTGTGGTATGAACGAGCTTCGGTAGGAACCGTGCTTGAGTACCGTCCCCCATCAACGTCTTTTGGAGGCTTTGGTCGGGACCCCTTCTTCTTTCCAAAAGACTTGGAAATATCAAGCCTAAAAGATCCTGGTAGCATAAAAAATCAAAAAAAGATAAGCTAGTCTGCATTCTCAGCTGATTTTACAGATGTGAGATCTCACATCAGTTGGAGAGAGTCGAATAATCCTCTATAAGAGTATGGAAACCTCTCCTTAGTAGACGTGTTTTCAAAACCTCGAGGAGGAGCACGAAAGGGAGAGCCCAAAGAGGACAATATCTGCCTAACGGTGGGTTTGGGCTCTTACACAAGAACTCCATAAATAATCCACAATCAATCCTAGTTATCGTATTCTTTCGAGATTAGCCATTAACCACTCAACAAACGACATCACGCTCGAGCAAACGACTTTCTAAAAAGAAGCCATCAGGCAAACAGTCAAACCTCAAGCTATAGTATTCATTTCAGGCAAAGAAAGTTTCTCGTTTCCCTCGTAAGACAACGAAACGTCTCGGGTCATTCTTAAAAACTGAAACTACAGAGATCAACAATCTTTTGCATAGTCACACTCAAACTCGTCTTACTATAAAGATCAGCAGAGTCAAATCAGGGTAATTTAATAGAACAGTTCAACAAAAGTGAATTCTTCTCCTAAATATTCCATGTCTTCAAGAGCTCAGAACTTCCACATTTATTCTAGAACTCTCATTCGCTTTAATCGGCCCCGTCCTAGCTAGAGTACTTTAGCCGAACCAGAACTGTTGATATCATTGATGGATATTAATAACACTTTATTGCAAACACTTTCCTCAACCACCTAAAAGTTGCACATGCTTTCTTTAACACTTTGGTATTCATCAGAGAAAGTAGATATCCATTCAGTAATGAAACACAGCAAACTTCGGTCCCTCAGGCTTTATTGTGACATTTTTCAAAACAATCCATCAGAACTAAAATGTCATTTTGTTTAACAATTTTTTTAAAAGTTTAGAATGTTTGGTTGAGGATTATTGGGAGTGAGTCTCACGTTGGTTAATTTAGTGGAAGATCATGGGTTTATAAGTAAGGAATACTATCTCCATTGGTATGAGGCCTTTTGGGGAAGCCCAAAGTAAAGCCATGAGAGCTTATGCCCAAAGTGGACAATATCATACAATTGTGGAGAGTCGTGATTTCTAACAGCCATGCCCTAAACTTAGCCATGACAATAGAATCCTCAAATATCGAACAAAGATTGTGAGCCTCGAAAATGTAGTAAAAAAGTGACTAAAGTGTCGAACAAAGGGTATACTTTGTTTGAGTGCTCCAGAGAAAGGAGTCGAGCCTCGATTAAGGGGAGGCTGTTCGAGAGCTCCCTAAGTCTCAGGGGAGGCTTATAGTGTACTTTGTTCGAGGAGAGGATTATTGAAGATTATTGGGAGTGAGTCTCACATTGGTGGGAAGCCCAAAGTAAAGCCATGAGAGCTTATGCTCAAAGTGGACAATATCATACCATCGTGGAGAGTCGTGATTCCTAACATGTTCCTCTCGTAAATGGAACAATAAACAAAGCCACAGGGGTTGAAATTCAGGAACATCCAGAGAATTGTTTACCTTTAGACCTTTTATCCTTTCCTGCCTTGCTTTCAGCTGTTTTTTGTATGCAATATTCAGTGCATTCATGAAAGGGATTAGAAACATAGATACAATCTGGACGAACTTTTCTCCTTTCAGCCATCCCTCAGCTGAAATCTCACACTACCTGTAATTTTCACAGCATCAGATTCACCATTTTGTCATAATCAGAGCTTTATCACAGGATTTTCTCAGTTTAAACTCAAATTATCCATGCAAAAATGGCAAAAGGGGATTCAAGTTCCATATATCTTGACAAACAGAATTTAAATGCGTTCATTATCTGATGAACAAACTAGACAAATATGAACATAAAAAACAGTGCTACAAACTCCATATGAATTAATGAACAACCAAAAACAGGTATAACACAGAATTCAGCTAAAATTAGCAAAAGTAATCAAATACCTAAAAAAGAATCGTTTCAGAAGAACCAGAAGAATCAAACCCCACATAAGAACTCCCAGAAACACATAAATCGAAACTGAAAGCAAAATTTCAAGAGAAAAAGAGATTTAAGGAATAGAACACAATGAACGAACCTTGTAATCGAGCTTCACTTTGATGGGTATCGATTTACTCTCTCTTTCTCTCTCTGTCTAGGCCGTTTTGGAAAAATGGAAGAGATTATTCATACGCAAAGGTAAAGTTGAGAGTGGGCGCTATATTCCAACGCTGCCATTAATGGGTATTCTTGGGCGACGTTGAAACATTGACTAATTAGGTGAAACATGAAAAAGAAAATAAAAAAGTTCAATTTTTTTGGCATTTTTAATGCCAAAATTCTGTCAAACAACTACATTTTACATATAAAATTAAAACATAGAAAATATAATGAAATTTAATGGCTGAAAATGAGTCTTGCATGTGAACTCATGGTTCTAAGTGTGGACTAATTGAACAGTAATGGCTGAAAATGTTTCTTCAAAGTTTTAATTTTTGTTATCTTTCTATTTGAGTTTGGTTTTTGATTTGATGTGTCGTCCAACGCCATCCTTCTTCCTTTTTCCTTTTGTGGCTATGAAACAACCTTCCATTAAGGATTTTGTTGACTATAAGGTCCACTCCAAGTTTGGCTTGTCATTTCTGTCTATGATATCTAAATAGGTTCTAATATAATCGAAAATTTTAAAAAATTAATTAATTTATTAGATATAAAATTAAGTTCTATGACTAAAAGACCAATAATTTTAGAAAAATGTTGAAAATAAGACAAAATTGAAAATTTTAAAGATCTATAAAACACAAAATTGATAGTTTAAAGATTTATTTTTATATTTTTTAAAACCAAATAAATGTAATCTTACAAATTTTAAGGGATTTAGATTTTTTTTAAGGTTTATATAATTTAAATTTAATCTAAATGTAATAATTTTTTTTTAATGAAATGCTTTAAAATTTATCTTAGTCAACTTTAGATTAAATTGTAATTTTACATGATCGGTTTCAGTTTAATTTAATTTAATTTATTTTAAAAAATTAAGCTGAGTTTCTCTTTTCTTATTATTTACTTTTTTAAAATTAAAATTGAAAACTAAAGAAAAATAATAATCTTTAAAAATTTATTAGATACATAATTAAAAATTTGGAGCTTATTAAAAAGTTTTATAAAGTGGAGCCCATTCGCATTAAATGCACTCTTGAAATTTTAGTGATTAAAAGTTTATTTTTAAAATAATATTTTGGTATCAACATTTTTAGATTTATTCTATTTTAATATCTATACTTTCAACAAAATTTTAATTTAATCCATGAGAAAGTTAGCCAGGCTAAATTATATTTTTCATAAATTTTAAAAATATATTTATATTATTATTTTTTTAATAAAAATTATTATTATTATCTATATAGTTTTAAATTTAAAATTTAAAACTATATAAACTAAAAGGTAATGAATTGAAAGCACAAATCAAAATAATATTTTAACAAAAGAAAATGACTACACTTAATTTCACAGTTAGTACACGTCATGTCACATGTCAATATGAATGTAAAAATAAAAAAAAAATCGTTAAAATTGTATTAATTTCAATATGAACAAACTTTTAGAAAGTAAAAAAAAGAATATATATATATATATATATATATATATATATATATATATATATATATATATATATAAAATAAAAATCAAATTAAAAATAACGTTTCTAGAAAATGGTCCGATTATAACAGTCCATGACCTCCCACATTTCACGTTGCTTTGTTCAAACTCGATTATGACAGTCCATGACCTCTCACACGACACATTGCTCTGTTCAAACTAATTTTTAAGCGTATAGATTTATGATTTAACATGAAGAAACAAATTCATATATATATATATATTAATTAATTAATTGGGATGGGCATGTGGTTGGTTGATGAGTTTCTATCAAATTTAAAACTCAAAACGAAAGTACATGTGATGTCTAAAAATGATAGGGAGAGGATCTGGGAGGGTCAAAATAAAAAATATTTAATATATATATATATTTATATTTATATATAGAATAATTTGTTTGTTTATGTTAAATCATACATTTATACGCCTAAAAACTAGTTTAAACAGAGCAACGTGACGTATGAGAGGTCATGGACTGTCATAATCAGACCATTTTCTAGAAACGTCATTTTTAATTATTTTTTTAGTTTTACAAATATAGTAAATTATCCAAAATTAGAATTTTATTTTATTTTTTTCAATATTTTGATTTTACCCTCTTACTTTTTCAAATTATATATTTGATTTATTATTAAAATGCAAATAATGTCTCAGGCTTATTCCAATTTCAGGTAATGTATATGATTCACATATATATTCATGTGTCACTATGTGACCACATATAATTCTAAATTTCATAATCTATATCTCAAAAATTAATAGGACAATTAAAATAAAATGGCTGTTTAAAAATGTTTATACACTAAAATAGGTATTTTTTAAAGTTAAAAACCAAACTAGAATAAGAAATATTTTGACAATTAAGTTAAAAGGATAATAATTTTTTTTTGAAAAATAGGAATATATGATTTTTGGAAATGGAATTAAAATGTTTTTATTTTACACTAAATGAGCTCATACCCAGTGATTTTACACGTTTTATAGGTTTTTCAAATTTTGTGAGACCCGAAAATGAAAGTTTATTTAATTAAGTTTTCACTAATCATAATTAAATTTGAATTTTTAATTGTGTTACTAAATCATATTAATGATGTAGAATTATCAATCAGGTTTAAAATTTATTGAGAATGCCACGACAATAAACGTGTTAGGTATACTAATTTTTCAAAGTGCATTAATTGCATTTATGGCTAACCTATAAATTTTTATACAAAAATGTGTGTATATATATATATATATATAGACACACACACGAGTCTAGATGAGTTGTACCCATTCCTTCTTAAATATAGATTTAAAAGCTTTAAATTGACCATATATATGTAAGATAAATGAATTTGCTTAAAAGTAATTTTTATATATAATCGTTCTAATGTATAAGGTTTAAATTTTCACTCAATCAAAAAATAATTTAAAGCAAAGCCACTCGTAGACAAAGAATCTCATAAACAAAGATAGCAACCATTAAGTAATTAGTTTTTAGAAAATAATGACGTTAAGAATAGAGATTTGAATCTCTTACCTCGAGAAGATTTACCCTGGGGAAGCAGCCATGCCTTTTCGTCTCACTCAACTTCTACTCAGAATGACCTAGGTTAAAATAAATAAAAAATTAAATCAAATCAAAGGGAATAAAATTATATTTTTGTGCAATAATCACTTACAAAATCTCAAACAAAGTCCATGACCTCAGATAGAAACAAGTGTCAACGTGTGTGTGTGTGTGTGTGTGGGCACTTTGACATATAAAGCATGTAGAGATGTAAGCATGTCTGTAGGTACACAACAATACAAGCACATACTTGTTAAAAGCATTCAGATCTGAGTCAAGCTATGCTAATAAGGAGTAGTTGAGAAGTCATGAAAGAAGATGCAAGAACTAAAAAGAATGCATATAAAATAAGCTTAGGAAGGGAAGGGAAGGGAAGGCAGTTGGGGTATCTTAGCTCATGCAATCTGTTCCTCCCATCATTACCAACTCATAATCCATCTTACTTACTTACTTTTAAGAAACTGAAAGCAAAAAAGAATATCATAAAAAGCCTCTGTTTCTCATGCATGGCCTGCAGTTCACCTACCTGAATTTGAAGCAACAACCAATTATATAAACAGAAACAATTGTAGAACAAAAAAGTACTACTACTTTTCTCTCTGTTTCTAAGTAAATGGCAGAAGGAGGTGGAGATTTGGTAGGCCCTTAGTCTGAGGTGGGTTTTTGTCTGATGAAGCTTTGGGGGTGTGATGCCATTCCTATGGTCCAGTAGTTAACTATTGCTATCACTTCAAATCTTTACTTTGGTTTTTTCTCAGCCTTGCTAAGGTTTTGAGAGCACTTCAGAGGGGATCCTTCCTGTCGTCTTCTAGGTCCTTGGGGGAACTGTTTCATTCAAACCTGTACTGTGTATAAGATTTTGAGTATGATTCTCTTGACCAAATCTATCTATTATTGAGAGGTTTCTAATTCCTCTGCTTTCTGTCAATAAATGCAGGAGATTCTAATCATAGTATTGGCATCATGCAAAGCCTGATGGAGAGACTAAGACCCCTTGTGGGTAGTAAAAGCTGGGACTATTGTGTTCTATGGAAATTGAGCCAAGATCAGAGGTAGAGTTTACTACTTTGTTTCCTTTCTCTCTCTCTATCACTCCCAAGCTTAGCTTTTAACTCTGTTTCAGCCGTTCGGGATCCATCCGATTTCTCAAAAGCCTTCTCTTTTGTTTCAGATGTGTTGAATGGATGGACTGCTGTTGTGCTGGGACTGAGAATGGGCAAAATGGTGGAGAAGAACTTGGGTTTCCTGTTTCTCAAGTCATTCCATGTAGGGACACTGCATATCCACACCCAAGAGCCAGTTCCTGTGATCTTCTTGCTCAGCTGCCATGTTCTGTGCCTCTAAATTCTGGGTATCTAATTGATATTTGTCATCTCCACATACGCTCCCCTTCCTCCTCTCTCTCTCTCTCTCTCTCTCTTTCTCTCAGTTGTTCTTTGTTGAACAGGGTTTACATACAGACACTGCTATCAAATGAACCCAAATGGCTACTCTTCTCCAATGCCATGGATTCAACTGCACTGGATGTGAGTAGCATTCACAGGAGAAACAGTACCACAGGTTGCAACAAATAGCTTACATTTTTTTTTCGTTCTCTTTGCAGGAAACAGCGGGAACCAGGGTGTTAATTCCATTTCCATTCGGACTTGTGGAGCTGTTCGTCGCTAAACATGTATACACATAGACTTCAAGTAATCTCATTCTTTTAAAGGGATTGAATTAAAAAAAATAGCTAAACTGCAGCAACATGTTTATTCGAGTTGAAGGATAGCAAAATGGTTTTTCTATAATGTATTTAGACAGATTCCCTCTGTTCTCACAGGCATCTGAAGATCAGCATGTCATAGATTTTGTAACAATTCAATGCAGCATTTCTGTTGAGCAAGAAGCCATTATTAATTCAAGCAACATGGATACAAGTTTCTCTGTTGATGTAAATGCAACAAACGAAATCCAATCAAAACCGTTTGTAGCGGATCGGAATGCTGTTCTAAAAGATCCTGAAATTCAATTTGAGGCACCAGGTTCAGCCGCACCAACATTAGAAAACGCCAATGTGGGTTATGATATCTCATTAGACAGAATCCGCCTCTGCAGTTCTCCTATGAATTTCTTGCAACAGTTCAATTATAGCTCAGAAAACAGAAATAAGAATGAAATTTTCAATGAATGCTCACAGGATTCATTCCTTACGGATAAGCAGGGAAACCCTTACAAGTTTTCAGCTGAAAATGAGTTCCAAGAGGTGGATACGATGCAGGGGTCCTTAATGAACACATCAAACATTCATGTGCAGTTAAAGGAGAACAGTGAATGCAAAGAGCAGCAAGGGGAGGAAAAAGACTTGGTCAAACATGAAAATGGAAGGTCTGATTCAATCTCCGATTGCAGTGATCAGATCGATGACGAAGATGATGCAATCGCAAAGTATCGCCGGAGGACTGGGCAGGGTCCTCAATCAAAGAACCTTGTTGCTGAGAGGAAGAGAAGAAAGAAACTCAATGAGCGGCTGTATAATCTCCGAGCATTGGTTCCCAAAATTTCTAAGGTGATTACCTCTACACCCTGTTCAGATCACTAGAAACTATCAAGGAAAATGAAACAAAACAGCTTCCTACTTCTTAAATCAGTTTATATCCCAAATGACAAACTGATGTTTATATTATCTTCTAATGCATAGTTTCTGTGGATTTCTCAGATGGATAAAGCCTCAATACTTGGTGATGCAATTGATTTTGTGAAGGAGTTGCAAAAGCAAGTCAAGGAACTCCAAGATGAACTGGAAGAACATACAGATGATGAAAACGGTAAAACTGTAGTTTCAGGAAACAATGGAAACCAAAATAGTGTCCAGCTACCTGAGTTTCTGAGCCAAAATGATAAAGCTCAAAACAATTACCATATGGGAGTACTGGGAAGTGGAAGTGTTTTGAAGCAAAATCATCAGGACACTGAAGGTACTAACAATGACAAGACACAACAGATGGAGGTATATATATAAGAAGTTAATTGTAGAAAAAAGCAACTGTCATTGTCCGTATTCACTGCAGATGCTAAAACAGAAGTGAAATTGAATAATTGCAGCCGCAAGTGGAAGTGGCTCAGATTGATGGGAACGAGTTCTTTGTGAAGGTTTTCTGCGAGAACAAGCGAGGTGGATTTATGAGGTTAATGGAGGCCTTAAATGCTCTTGGCTTGGAAGTAACAAATGCAAATGTGACCAGCTATAGAGGCCTCGTATCTAATGTTTTCAAAGTTGGGGTAAGCAAACTTTTCATCTCCCAAACATTTGCATCCTTTCTAGAAATCAAAACAATAAAACAAACAATCGAGTTATTCAAACTAATCGGAATGTCAATTAACACATCGCTCAACTGGTTAATGGATACGCCCTTAACCAAGAATTTAGGGGTTTGGGAATGTGAGATCCCACATCGGTAGAGGAGGAGAACGAAACACCCTTTATAAGGGTGTGGAAACCTCTCTTTAGTAGACGCGTTTTAAAAACCTTGAGGAAAAGCCCAAAGAGAACAATATCTGCTAGCGGTGGGCTTGGGCCGTTACAAATGGTATCAAAGCCAGACACTAGGCGATGTGCTAGTGAGGAGGCTGTTCCCCGAATGGGGTAGACACGAGGTGGTGTGCCAGTAAGGACGCTGGGCCCCGAGGGGTGGATTTGGTGGGGTCCCACATCAATTGGAGAAAGGAACGAGTGCCAGCAAGGACGTTGGGCCTTGAAGGGGGTGGATTGTGAGATCCCACATCGGTTGTGGAGGAGAACGGAACACCCTTTATCAGGGTATGAAAAACTCTCCCTAGCAGTCGTGTTTTAAAAACCTTAAGGGGAAGCCTGAAAGAACTATCCCGTCCGGTATTAATCAATGATTCAATAATGACTTTCTTGAGTAACATTTTGGTGGCAGAAGAAGGACAGTGAAATGGTTCAAGCGGATGATGTAAGAGACTCTTTGCTGGAGATAACAAAGTACCCATGCAGAGGGTGGGCAGAAATAGTCAAGGCACCAGAATGCATTGGAAGCCGCATGGAGCCCAACCCCCATCCCCACCCCCACCAGCACCAGACCCAGAATCCATTTCAAGACAAAGCTATCATCAATTCACGCCTCCATCTCCTTAATGATTAACTCCTAGTTCTTCTTCCCTCTTTATACTCGAGCAAACGCACCGAATACAGACTATATTTATTTGTTCTCTCTAATACTTTGTAGTACATCCACCGTAATAAAGAATGATGAACACGCAAATCAAATCCACAAGCATATGCTGTCGAGTAATCAAAATCAGTTACCTCCTAGTGACGATGAGGGAGGCTGTGTAGGCAATGCATGACCATATCAACAAATTCTAGCCCAGCTAGCTCTGCTCGGCCATGAAATTAGATGAAATCTTCGACAAATTTACGAATACGAGCAGAAGCTCGAGACTAAAATTACTTTAACAGTCTACGCAATCGCACAAATTCACAGAAAAAGAAAGAAAGAACTTCAACATCGCTAGTATGTCAAGTTTAAGAGAAAGCCAATGGATTCAGGGAATATTTCCAGTCTAAAGCCTCAATCGGAGCAGAAGAAACCAATTCTATTGAAAAGTACAGAAATGGAAATCAAACAAGGTAATATCAAGAATGTCGAGAATCTGAAAATGTTGTGGAAGAAAAAGAATCACTTACATTGGCATAAGAATGTCGATTCAGAGGATTGTGAGAAGCTTTGGGAACTGGTTTTAAACGAAGATCATCAAACTTCTCTAATAAATGGGAATTAGTTTGTACGATTACTTTTTACCTCTTCACTAATAATTTGATAAATATAATTTATTACAATTTAGTTGAAATTAAAGACACGTTTAATTTTATATTTTTAACCCATTTTCATACCATTAAAGTTAATTTTTTAATCAATAAAAACATATTTGGGCGTGATTTATAATATTTTTTTTATTACAACAATTAAAATTACTTTATTACTCATTACTTTTTACACTTGAGTAATGCTTATTTTGACTGAAAATTTTAACCTTGACTGAAAATTTTAACTATTCTCAATAATCTTCAATGATCCCCTACTCAAACAAAGCACACCATAGAGCCTCCCTTGAGACCTCTTTATCTAGCTTTTGAATAGCCTCCTTTTAATCGAAGCTCGACTCCTCTCTGGAGCCCTCAAACAAAATACATCTTTTGTTCGACACTTGAGTCACTCTGACTATACCTGTGTTAGAACTTCTTTATTCAATACTTGAAGATTCTATTGACAAGGCAACGCTCTACTGCCAGGTTAGAAACCACTTAATTTAAAATTTTAAAAATTAAAATTTTAAAAATTAAAAAATAAAGTGAAATTGATCGCATTTATGATATATCCTAGAAATTGAAGGAAGACCACTGCATTTTAACCGTTACATAATAATCGATGGATATGAATTCAAATCTATATTTCTCAAACGTGGCTTATGTTGTATATTTCATGTGGCAGGTAAGAAAATTACTTCCAAAACTTTTGCAGAAAGTACGAGCACCATTTCAAGACGTTTGGCTTCAGTTCAACCATTTGAGTGATCAACCACGAAACCACTAACGTGTAGAACTGAAACTTCAATACCGTGTCGAAGCCATCGATAGCTACCGTTACTTTACTGCTGTGTCTACGGTCATCTAATACGAATGAGATCAAAAAGGCCATAAGCCACAGTTACTTTACCGCTGTGTTGTGTCTATGATCATCTAATATGAACAAGATCAAAAAAGCCATCAGCCACAATTACTTTACCACTGTGTTGTATCTATGATCATCTAATACAAACGAGATCAAAAAGGTCATTAGCCACAGTTACTTTACTGCTGTGTCTACGGCCATTTAATATTGTAAAACATGTTAAACTATTTCGAACCGAGTTTTTAATAGACTGAAGTATGAAATGAAAGAACATGAAAGAAAATTCTAATGAGCTTTTGAGAACTATTGGAGCTGGGGATTTATGCAACCTAGAATTGTGCAGCACATTGAGTTAGGAAAAGCCATGTAAAAGGCTCCCATAATATCAACTACAAAATGGCATGAACAAAATCCAAAAGCTCATGTTACAATTTAGAAGAGTTTCACCAAATAAGATGGGCATCTCAAGTATGTTCTATGAATGAAACAACCGGTGTGGCGTTACGAACACGATAGATTCATGGTAAAAAAAAGGGAAAAAGATGATTGAATCAATGCATCAAAAACTTTCTGACCAGCATACCTGGATGAAGTTGTACATCTGATTGGCTCCCACGTCTCGAATTGAGCTGAGTCTCGCACTGAATCAGTTAAAAGTCGTCATCGTCTTCTTCGGCTATATGCTTAGCAAGTTCTTGCTCCTGCTGCTGTCTTTCTCTCCTTTTCTCAGCACTTTCCTTTTCTTTGTGGGAGTTTGGTGGGAACCTGAGAGCACGAACTGCCTCATTGTGCATATTCAGGCAGAATGCAATCCTTGAGTTGAAGGCAATTTGAGGCTCATTGGTAGAGTAGATGTCTCCAGTCTCCTTGGATACCATCCATCCCTTCGCGTGATCAACCGTGGCATCAATTGCTCCATCTCGGATTGCCTTAGAGACGATACTCTCAGCATCAGCAATGGGATTTTCAGAGTCCAGTCTCAGCTTTTTAGCAATATCAGCCAGAGAAATGCGCGAATATGATATGCTAATGTTGCGCAGCCCAGTTCTGATTACATTATGTCGCAGCCTCACGATCAAATTGTTGGTTCGATCTGAGCTGAAAGTACTAGAGAACTTATCAGCAACAGTTCTGAAAAGCTCCAAGTCGCCAATTCTCACAGCCTGAAAGAAAAAAGCATTGCTAATAAAAGAGCAGAATAGACTATTGACAAATAACAAGGGAGTTCACTATAATTCATATGAAGAGGCCAATCAAGTATTTTTATTTTTTCTTCACAGAGAAAAGAGAGGAAGAGAGGAACGATGGAGGAGGGAGCGGTGGGAGGTTTGGGGCTACTGCGCAATCACCAACCTAACCATTTCCGAAGACATAAAATGGTCGAATATTTCTTGAACTTAAACTTACATTTGTAAGTTCAAAGTATGGCCTCAGAGCTGTCTCCATGCCTTTCTGCATAAAAACAGTCCTCTCAGGGATTTCTCCTAACAATAAGCGAACAATGATTGCCCATTTGTTGCATTGTACTCGAAAACCAAGCGCTGCGATAGGTGCTTTTCGGGCAGCTTGTAGAAGAGACTCCTTCGCATCTGTATATTCCAGCTGAATGGTCCTGATCTTGCCTAGGTAAAATAGGTACCTACAGAACTGTGCTTGAAACCAAAATTCATAAGATACTTGACAAAAATATTAAATTCTAGGAAATTTATACATACAAAACATCACTAAAAATTATTAAATTAAAAAAAACCGCCTGAATTCTTCTTACGCCTAGACATTACAAACTGCAATCATCATTGAAATTCAAAAGCATGTAGGCATGTAAAAATCGACAACTTCAAATCTCATCGCTAGAACTATTTAACGAGCGAAGTAACTTATGTTACAAGCATTTATACTGAAGAATGCTGCATAATATTGCAGCATAACTTTCTTAAATCCACAGATACTTGTTTTAGCAAAAGATAAAATAATAATAATAATAATAATGATTGAAAGAAAAAGACTATCGTCCTAAAACTTGCCTGCTGGTTTGAGTGAGCTTCAAATCGGGGTGCCTTGGACCTCAACTTCTCTGCTTGATCGTAAAGATTGTAATGGAGGTAATTTCGAAGTAGTAGGTTGAGGAGGGTTTCCTAAATCACATTGTTACCACTATATAAGGCACCATAATATGGTATTGACTGATAGAAAAATGAAGAAAATTACCTGACCCAATTCATCATGGCGTAACGTTGCAATGCGATGCAGGGCCAGGAGGTTACTGTCAATCAAAGTTTTCCATGTTATGAAATGAGTATCAATACACTCTACTCTGGAATCAAACCACCAGAATCATAGAAATGTATGAAATTAACTAACATAACTCTAATAAAATCTTAAGTTATAAACCTACCCTCTTATTTCCGCAAGATCACCAGTGAGTTCGTAGCTAAGCGAGTAATAAAAGTAAAGCCTAGATGATAGCACATCAACCGTTCTTCTATTCAAGTTCTTCAATCGGGCAATGCTAGCTGAAGCACAAGCCTTAGCCTGAAAATATCCAACAAGTTTTCAGGAGTCAAGACCACAGTTCAGGCAAAATAGGAAAACCCCTGATGGATAAGAGGAATACATCACCTCGCCATATTTCTTCTGATCAATCAGAAATACTAGCAAAAGCAAATAGCAGAAAATCTCTATCTCAGGTAAGGGATGTTTTACAGGTGCCTGAGTTAATGCCTTTGTTTCCGAGTCAATATCCATTTCGTAGTCATCCTCCTAACCAATTGTTAAACAAAGCTTATTACAGCGTTTCACGATCTTTAGAACAGGGAATTGCATCATGCACACAAACAACAATGTTTCCATTAAATTTCGAATTACCTTCGGAATAAATGATGATAACCTTGTGTGCACATCGGATCCTGGCGGGAGAGCAAAATTCAGAAATGGAGAAAGAACAGACGCCTTCAATTTCTGCCTCAACGCCATAGTCAGACGAATAGCTCGAACGATTCGCCGGACTTCCCGTGCATACGCACCGGTTTCAAGAAGCGACACAATCTCTTTCAAATCTGATCGAAAGAAATCGTTAACAAATTTCAAAATCAAGGCCACCAAGAATTCAACAAAACATGAAAAAATGCAGATAAAGCTCTAATACGTTGTAACGTTGAAGGAGAAGTTGGAGCAGCAGAAGAAGAAATGGGAGGAGGAAGCTCCTTCATCTCAGCGTCTTGCGTCATCTTCGCAAATTCTGTATGAAATCCACAAAACTACACGACTGAATCGACAAGATTTCGAATGGAGAAACAGAAGAAAGAAACAAGATCAATAGCTGAAACAAATTAAACCTCGAATTCAGAGAAAGCCGGAGATTTTGCTGTATAAAGCGACGGGAGATGGCACAAGGGTTTCTTCAGGTTGTCTCGTAAGCAAGAAGCAAACCATCCAATAAATTTTGTTCTTTTAAAAACAAGTTAAAAAATTATTTATAAAATTTTATAGATCAGCCTCACATTTTTAAAACACTTCAAGTTGTAATGGTAGAATGCGTGGTGGGGTCACCCGTAATGAGTTAAAACGGACAGTATCTATTAACAGTTGACTTAAGCTAAGCTGTTACAAATTATATCAGAGCGAGTCACGATACATTGCAAGGCACTGGCTGGAATAGGAGTAGGACTAGACCCTTTTCATAGTAGGTACGTTTTAAAATTATGAGGCTATGACTTGGGTTGCTACAAATGGTATCAGAGCCAATTAACAAATAGTGCAAGACACTGGCCGGAGTAGGACTAGACCCTCTCCATAGTAGACGTGTTTTAAAAGTGTGAGGTTGTGGGCTTGGGTTGTTACACAAGGTATTAGAGTTAGTCACTAGACGGTGCGAGGTATCACAACCTTACTATGAAGAGAGTAGGTTGTGACCCTCACGCCATGACAAGCAAAGGGGCGTCCCTCAAGAGACGTCCATCCGGCCATATGCGGGCCAACGTAGAAGAATGCCATGATGCGATCGAGGAGGACGATGCATCATCCAACACACCACCACGCAAAGTGGGCATTGAAGACATGTTGAGACACAAGCATAACAGAGACATCAGCATAGACATGAAGGACAAGATAGGCTTGTTGAAGGACCGGGTAGGGCCCCGGGCCTTAACCTCAAAAGTCGAGGTTCCGGAAGGAATTTGGTCATGCGGTTCGGGAGTTAAGTCCGTCCATATGAAATATGAATGCTCGCCAAGTTTGGTGTCAATCGGACAT